TGATATGAATGCTCCTGGGATAAAGCGATGGTTTTCGCATAAGGTTAATTCCAACAGTGCAGACCATATATTTTTTTTTTGGGTATAATGAAGGAGGCCGAAGCCTAGACTAACACTCGTCGGGGGTATGCCACCCCTATAATGTCATGCTCAAGCCAAGTTCCCACCTCCCGAGGGGGAGATGGAAGTCGCTGCAATCCAACCGGTGCAGACCATATATTGATCGTGTGTGTGTGTGTGTGTAAGCAACTTCATATTTATATATGTGACCTTTGAGAATGAGAAGATTTGGGTTACATCAAGAATAAATGAGCCTTTAATTTTTTTTTTGGGCAAATGTCTGATTTCACAATCAAGCATTCATTTCACAATGTGGCTTAATGCTTTGCCCATGTCAAAATCTTATTTTTTATTTTATGTATTTGATCTACGTTAATTTTATTTTTTCACGTACATATGCACAAATGTAAAGAAAAAGTATTATAAATTATATGTATACATATAATATTAAAATTACAAGTCAGATAATTATTAAATCTTAAAAGTTAAAGTATTATAAGTTATGTATGTATGCATATTAATATTAAAATTATAAGTTAGATAGTGGTATTATGTTTTAAAAAATCATCATCAGCAACAGTAAACAGACAACTATTTACCTGCATATGAATCACTATATTACTTGTATAAAATGAAATAAATAATATAATTTTTTTATATAATTTTGAGGAATTATTACTAATTAATTAGGTGAAAAATATTAAATATTATTATTATAACAATTTCCTATACAATTTTAATGAATCTTACAATGTCATTAAATTAATTAATTTATTTTTAAAAATAATCACTTAATGAGATTAAAAAATATAATAAAATATAATTTTGTATGTTTATGTGACATTCGTCATTTTACGTGCATTTTAGACTGATTTTGTGTTCTTTTTGTTGTAGTTTGAGATATATTACTATTTATTTAACAAATTTTATTAATCTATGACAAATGTGTCTAACAGAAAATAGGGTGAGTATTAATTCTTAGAGTAAAAAACGTTGTCAAACGGATATAAACGGAGTGCGAGCTTTACATTGGAACATGCCCAAGTACAAGACCCGCTGGGAGATTAAAGTAGGCCAATTTATTGACCTAATTTAAATCATAGAAACAACTTATCAATACTCAAGCCAAGGCCCAGGACTGGTAGAAGCCCATTACAAGTCTAACCCAAAAGAACTATTTAAAAAGGCCATTTTAACTGCATGTAGTCTTATTATTCAATCAAGCCGTTGACGTCCATCCACCATAGCTAGGGGATGGGAAAAACCGAGTCGGAAAAAAAAAAAAAAAAATCGAGTTGAATCATTGTATTTGGTGCGATGTGGTTCAATATTTAAAGATTGTTGTTTGTTGGTAAAATTTTGAACAACCGCAAAGAATTCTGTGCGGCTCGGTTTTATGGTCGAATTGTGCAATTTTAACCGAATCGCACTGAATAAAGTTTATGTTATATTATAGATACATGTAAAATATATACACAAACACCTATATATATTAGAGGTATACACATAATATATTAAACAAAATATGTTTTAGTTACATATTTTTTTTTTGTTGTTATATATTTGGGCTTCATCTCTGTTTTTCTTGTATGGTGCGCTTCATCTGCGTAGGACCGCTCCTCGATCTACCCCCAATTCTTAATGGTATCAGAGTCGGTTCTATTGAGACCGGGCGATGACGGACATGTTTCCCAGCCCATTTGGGCTTGGTCACCCAGCTCAGTCGGGCTTGGGGTTCGTGTGAAGGACGCCCAAGTGAGAGGGCGTAGTAGAATATAATACCACTTGTGAGTTGTCCCATAAGTGAGGTGGCTTATTAGAATATAATACCACTTGTGAGTTGTCCCACGTCGTTTATACAGGAAAAATATACCCAACTTATAAGACTAATGTGCTACTCCTCCTTCAATCACAATCAAATGCAGTGGTCATGAAAAGTATGGCCACACATAGGGATCGTAGATAAAAGAGCACCCACATGACTCGTATTTCTCGAGCATATACCGCACGCCTTCTTCTCCTTGTCTTTTTTTTTTTCTCCTCCACCCTAATCTTCCCAAATTTTCTCCTAAAAAAGTGTCGTATATTGAACTTCTTTGTTTGTACTCCTCTGTGGAAAAGAGGGAGGACATTAGGTGCGACAAGGGCACCAAGTATTGGGCACAAATTGCCCTATCCATGGAAGCCTCAATGAACTCGCCCTCTTGTTGGGCCCTGCATACCTCGAGGCCCACTATTACTGGAACCCAAAGATCATGGGCCCTTGCATTCTGCCAGGCAAAATCGAAGGTCTCGTCCACAAGCCACTTGATTTCGTCGTGGCTCATCCAGTAATCTCTCGCCCTTTCCCATGCCTGGCACCACAACATAGCCAGTCACTTTTAACGTTTCCCAACTAAAAAACGACATGACTAAATCTCTCCGAGTCCATAACTGTATCGGGCCCAGTGGCAACGGGCCGCATGATAAAGTCGATTCTGAACTAAAACACAAAGATTTTGTACCTAGGTTTCAGTTTTGAAACAAATTCAAAATCTTTCTCATGAGCTTTCAGTTTAGGCATAATCATCGGCTCAATCTCATCCACGTTACCCCTCGCAAACCGCCAACTATATACGAATCACGTCTCGCTACCAATAATCTTCTTTCTTCTTACACATAACTTATTGAGACAGTTAATCAAATCAACTTCAATTTCAAGTTCGTAAAAACATACTGATCGATGTTTGCAATTGAGACCTACGATCGGATCGACGTTTATTTGGTGAAGCGCACCATACAGGAAAAACCCAAATGAAGTCCAAGTGAGGTTCCATCCCAAAACTAATTGGTTGAAGGAGGAGTAGTCCACTAGTCTTGTAAGTTGGGTATATTTTTCCTGTATAAACGATGTGAGACAACTCACGTGTGGTATTACATTCTAATACGCCCCTCATTTGTGGGACAACTCGCAAGTGGTATTATATTCTAATACCTTATATATATAATTATAAAAGTATATAAATTGTGTAAAATTACATGCAATTTTCAAATTATTTTTAATACAAGTTAGTTAACAAGTATAAAAAGTATATAAAATATTATTGCTATTCTTGAATGGTATGTGTTGTATACTTGTATGTAAATTATTACACGTTATACATTGGTCTTTTTGGGCCGGCCCGTTATGCATGGAAGCACGTTACCCCTCACATGGAATGGGGTTCATATCGTTTTGGGCCAAAGATATAAGAGCAGGAGCCTAAGAACTTGCAAAGCAGTCCAATGCGAATCTAATACGAAACTAGAGGGTCGATCTAGCTATAGCACATTGCGCTATATTTTGCCGATCTCTTCGTAGTGTTAAATACAAACCGACAAAGCGATCGCCCATCGGTCCATCATCAAAAGACGAGTTTTTGCATGGGGACGTTTGTCACTCTTCTACGCCCTTAATTGCCACATTGTGATAATTGTTTTTCGACTTTTTTCCTTGTGTATAAATTCAGCCATAAGCTTCAAAAAAAAACAACGAACACAGCCTTTACTTTCTTTGCCCATTAATCATTTACACCAATTGTCTCGTATTGTTTGTCGATCTCTTTTACCTTGTATAATGACCCATTTTTACGCTCCATACTTTCATAAACATTTAAACCATTACTTTTTACCTTGCTGATGATGCTATATAAATCCGCCCTGTTTTTGTAGTTGACATCTAACGTCATTAATATGTATTAAATTTTGTTAGAGATATAGTATAGTATATTAATCTTAAATAACATTCATGTACAAATAAATAAAAAATATAAATATACATCATGAATTTGGTTCAAATGAGAACTAAGTCCTAGCGTAAGAACCGTGAGAATCGCTATTTTTAGTTGTACATAGTGCTATGATTAATTGTGTTTTAGTGCTATTTTTAACATAGATTTATTTTATTAAAAATAACAACACAATTTATATTAGCAT